TCTGTCCTCCCAGGGAGGGTATTATGCACTTAGCGTGCTTGTGGCCAATATTCGGGTATTTTGTAGTAATTTGCATTCTAGCTCGGTAAGTATTTCCATATAGATTTTATGTGTGGATCGGGTGGCACGCCGCCACAGGTATGTTGTTTGGATCGGGTTGCACGCCGCAACAGTGTGATGTTGAGTACAGTTCCCTATATCTATTCATGTGTGTTTTGTTTCTCATTTTCTGAGGAAGGTATATAACGCCTTTTCGGTTGTTTAATTAGTTACGTAGGTTGAGTAGTTCTTTCTAGAGTCCGTTTTCCTTATGTATCACATTCAAGTTTGTAGTTTGTCGGCATGTTGGGGCATCATATGAGATATTTAGTAGAGTTTGAGGTGGCCTATTGCCTGGGCAGCTTATACTGGGAGAGACAGGATTATTAGTCTTGGGGTCAGCGTGATCAAATCGGTATGAGGCATAGTTAAAGAGTAAATATCGGTATTCAGTCCAGAATGAGGTAATGGTTCTTGTCAAGGGGAGAAACTCAATGAATGGTTGACTAAGCAGTTGGTTGTAAATTTCTACGCATCTTTTCCGCTGCGGCAACATTACAAGAGTTGGAGCAGGACATGTGTGTGGCATGAGGTGTGTTGCGGACATCAGGTTCATGGAATTTTGGCTATTATTATCAGAGGATGGTATTATGGTCATGTGAATTATGCGGTGCATGGTGTAAATTCAGCAAAGGTATGCAGTCAAGTTTTGGTACATCGTGTGGTGATTGATACGGTGATCGTACGTTGGAAACATGCCTGGCAGAAGATTCCGAATGTTGAAATTTGGCTATAAGGCTAATTTGACTAAGCAAAAAGGGGAATCTTCATATTTACTCGAACTAGTGTGCTCAACTAACTTATGGTAGCATGGGTAGGTGCACGAGGTGTTAAGCAGTGATTTCAGACAACTCCAAAGCAGTTCTTAGCAAGTTCGAGGACGAACGTATGTTTAAGTGGGAGAGAATGTAACGACCCGACCTGTCCTTTTGAGCTCTAGCGCATCGTTCGGCAGTTTGACACCATGAGCAGCTTCACTTCAGGTATTATGACTTGTACGCGTGGTCGAAATTAAAATTTTGCAAGTTCAGAGTTGAATTGGAAAGAGAATTCTCATTTCGAAAGCTTTAGGTTAGAAGAATTGACTAAGATTGGATTTAGAGTAAACGGCCTCAGAATTGGGATTTGAAAGTTCCGGCAAGTTTGTATGACGATTTTGGACTTGGGCGTATGTTCGGATCGGGGTTTAGATACCCCGGGAGCGTTTCGGCACCTATTATGGAAGTTAGCATTTTGGAAGAATTCCATAAATTTGGGTAATTTCGATGTTATCGATGTTTGTTTGGAATTTCGAATCTGGGAATATCTTTGTATGTTGATTTCGGTATTGGGAGCGTGTCCGGAAGTGGATTTGGAGGTTCGTAGGTCATTTTGGAGTCATTTGGCTAAAGTTAGAAATTTGAAGGTTTTTGAGAAGTTTGACCGGGAGTGGACTTTTTTTATATCGGGGTCGGATTCCAATTCCAGAAGATGGAGAAGGTCTGTAATGTCAATTATGACTTGTGTGCAAAATTTGAGGTCAATTGGACGTGGTTTGATAGGTTTCGGCATCGAATGTTGAAGTTTGAAAATCTAAAGTTCATTAGACGTTGTTTGATGTGATTCATGAATTCGACGTTGTTTGATGTGATTTGAAAGCTCGACTAAGCTTGTAATGTGTTTTGGGATGTGTTGGTATAATTGGTTAAGGTCCCGAGGGCCCCGAGTGAATTCCGGGTGGTTAACGGATCGAATTTTGAATTTGAAGAAGAGTTGAGGTAGTTGATATCTGGTGTGATCGCACCTGCGCAAAAGGGGTCGCGGGTGCAAAACCTCAGGTGCGAAAAATCCATCGCAGGCGCGAAGAATTTTTTCGCGGGTGCGAAGCCGTAAGTGCAAGATATCCATCGCAGCCGCGAAGTATTTTGCCGCGGGTGCGAAGCCGCTGACGCGAAGGATTTTGCCGCTGGCGCGATGATCGTTGGGCAGTAAGTGTTTAAAACGGGAATTTTAGCATTTTTGCTCATTTCTTCATTCTTGGGCGATCTTTGGAGCTTCTGGAGAGGAGAATTCACCTAGAGACTTGGAGGTAAGTTAATTCTCATCTATTGCAAGTTAAATACATGGTTTATATATGGATTTAGACATGGAAATTAGTAAAAATTGTAGGGTTTTGGTAGAAAACCAAGAATTTGGTATTTTTGGATTTTTACCACGTATTTGAGCATGGGATTGGACATAAGTCATATTTTTGAGTTCATAAGGTTATGGGTAAAGTTTATCTTCAAAAACTTTCGGAATCTGGGCACGTGGGCCCGAGGGTGATTTTTATCGACTTTTAGAACGGAATTGGAATTTGTTATAAATTGGATTATAATGAGTATTCGAGTGTATATTAATGCGTTTGCATAATTATTGGCTAGTTTTGGAGCATTGTGCATCGATTCAGGTTGTTTGAAGGGCTCAGAAGCCGGTTATGGAACTACAGAGCGAGGTAAGTCTCCTTTCTAACCTTGTAAGGAGGAATTAACCCCATATGTGAACTAAATTATTATGTGCTTCTATTTGTGGGGGCTACGTACGCACGAGGTGACGAGAGTCCGTACATAGATACTAGCGATGCCTACGTCCGGGTAGTTTTAGGCTCACATCATGCCTTGTTGATATTGTTATTGATTTATGTTTATTGTTTGCCTTGAGAGGGAGCAAGATTGAGTATGCTTATTAAATGTTTTGAAAGGAGTTGAAATTGAAGAACTTAAGATTTAAAAGGTTTCATTTGGACTTCATAATTTTGAAAAGAATTGAGGAATAATATAATAGCTGAAGAAAGTCGCATGTATGATTCGCAAGTGGGTGATTTTCTTAAAAGTTTCAAGTTGAATTCTCATTATTTTAAAAAGAATCAAGAAAGATATATGATTTAAATGTTAAACTTATATTTTGCCACGTCGCAAGTATGATTCACGAGCGGGGTATTTCCTTAAATTTATATTTGACTGTGTCGCATGTATGATTCGCGAGTGAGGACCGCGTCGCATGTATGATTCGCGAGTGGGGAAATTTATAGATGCATCTATGGTTCGCACCGTTCAACCCTCAGCAGTACACAATTTATTTTTATTGTTAGATCGGGCCATACGACCTCGGCATGACTTGCGCATGATTGTATTAATTGCTTCGGAAATTATAATAATTGATATTGCCTCATTGGCCCAAGATATAAACTGTTAAAATGATGAAAATGAATTTGGGAAATTTCTTGTTAATAAAAGAATTGCTACTTATTACATGATATCGGGCTTACAGCCGTTTTACGTGATCCATGCTTAATTATATCATTGGTATATTAATTATAGCCCATAGTAAGTGTCTGAGTCGACCCTGCGTCACTACTTCTTTGAGGTTATGCGGAATACTTACTGGGTACGTGTTGATTTACGTACTCATGCTACACTTGCTGCACATTTTTGTGCAGGTACACATATGTTTAGCGGCCTTGTGGGCGCAGAGGCGCGATTATGGTAGAGACGTAGGTGAGCTGCATTCTATTCGACTCTCCACAGCCAACAGAGTCTCCTTCAGAGTACTTATATTTTTTTCCTGTCCAATTTGTATTCCGGAAAGTTATTGTATTTTATTTTAAATTTCTAGAAAATTCTCATGCACTTGTGACACCTGGTTTGGGGATGATTATGGGTTGCGCTGTGTTGGAATTTTTAAAGATATTATTACATATTTTGTAAACTTCGTCTTCTGCTATTTAATTTAGGGGAACAACTATGATTTCAAAAATATTAAAATGAGATTTTACTAATTATTGGTGTAGGCTTGCCTGACAGTAGTGTCTGGTGCCATCACGGCCTTTCAAGGATTTTGGGTCGTGACAGTTTGGGCCAGGGGAGTTTGGGCTAAGAGTTCAGGATATGTGGACCAGTGATTTGGGCCTATTTCGTCCGAAAATTGGCTCAAAATTGGGCTAGAATTAAATAAAAATAATATCGTCGACTCTCTCAACTCGATTCCACATTTTCCCTATGACTTCACGGCGAGATATTTAATCACGTTAATTCAACTTGCACTCCAAATTCTTTCATAGATCAACTACTTCACTTGTTTCTCTTTCAAAGGTCGGTGTGTCTCATCCGTCTTACGATTCGTCCAAATTTGATACAGTAATTAATCTCGATATTTTGTCTTACTTGTATTGCTTTAACTGTAGAATGTCACTTGTTTTACTGCAATTTTTTGTAGACCCTATTTAGCTACTACTTAGGACTTCCCTGCCATATTTGTTTTCTTGAGCATATTATTTACAATCTGTCTCTTGTCTTGCTTTAAATGAGAAACCATTTTTAGTAGACCTCCTTATTTAGCTATTAGTTAAGACTTGCCTGTCTAGATTACTTGTCTTTTTCTTTAAGTTTTGCTTCCCAAGCTATATTATAGTAATTTTTCCCATTCTTTCTGTGACCTCTAGTAGTTGGAGGTTATATTTAGTTATTTATTTTATTTTTGTCGCTTATTTTCGGGGTAGTGTTTGCGTAGTGTATCCTAGATTATAGTAGCTTTGCTGAACGATGGTAGGATAAGGTCTTTTCCTCGGGGGTGTCCCGGCGGAGGAGGGGGTGAGGGGGGGTAATGGGGGTAAGAGGGCTAAGGGGTCCTTGGCTGAGAGTGGGGTCTTGGAACATAGAAACTTTAACTAGAAAGTCTATAGAGTTAGCGAGGATTCTCGAGAAAAGTAAGATTAATATAGCTTGTATACAGGAGACTAGATGGGTAGGAAATAAAGTGCGAGATATGGGCAAGTTCAAACTATGGTATTCTAGGAGGACTGGGGTAGGAACGGGGTAGGTATCTTGGTTGATGATGACCTCCGTGATCTAGTGGTGGAGGTTATTAGGGTGAACGACAGGCTGATGACTATTAAGCTACTTGTTGGAGGATTTATTTTGAACATAATCAGTGCGTACGCATCCCAAGCAGGCTTGGACAAGGAAGTCAAAAGGCATTTCTGGGAGGATTTAGATGAGATGGTGCATGGTATTCTGCACACTGAGAAGCGTTTCATAGGAGGAGATTTCAACGACCACATTGGAGCGAAGTCTAGGGTGTATGATGATGTCCATGGTGGCTTTGGTTATAGAGATAGGAATGGAGGAGGAACTTCTCTGCTGGACATTGCTAGAGCGTTTGATTTCGTAATAGCAAACTCGAGTTTCCTAAAGAAGGTGGAGCACTTGGTCACCTTCCGAAGTTCGGTGGCGGTGACTCAGATTGATTATCTTCCCTACAGGAAGTCCGATAGAGGTCTTTGCATGGCTTGCAAGGTCATCCCGAGTGAGAACATCATGACCCTTCATAGGTTCCTGGTCATGGACCTTGAGATCACGAGGAAGAGGAGGAAGAGGGCGGTGTATAGCCAACCTAGGGTCAAGTGGGGAGCCTTGACGGAAGCCAAAGCGCAGGAGTTAGGGGATAAGTTGATAACTAGGGGGCTTGGAGGAGTAGCGAGGACGCAAGCGCTATGTTGACCACGACTGCACAATGTATTAGGAAAGCCACTAGAGAGGTATTAGGGATTTCGAAGGGTTACTCTGGTGGACACAGAGGAGATTGGTGGTGGAATGGAGAGGTGTAAGGAAAAGTGGAGACCAAGAAAACGGCATATCTGAAGCTAGTGGAAAGTGTAGAAGAGGAGGAGAGAAAGGTGAATAAGTAGAAATATAAGTTAGCTAAGAAGGAGTCAAAATTAGTAGTTACGGCGGCCAAAAGTGCATCTTTTGGACGTTTCTATGAAGAACTCGAAGGTCGAGGTGGGTATAAGAGCGTGTTCAAGTTAGCCAAGGTAAGAGAAAGGAAGGCTCGTGACTTGTACCAAGTGAAGTGCATCAAGGACGAAGAAGGTAGAGTTTTGTTGGATGAGGGGCTTATCCATCGGAGATGGAAGATCTACTTCCATAGTCTCTTGAATGAGGAGGGAGACATGAACATTGTACTAGGTGATTTGGAATTCTCCGGGAGTCGTTGCGATTTTGGGTATTACAAGCGGATTAGAGTTGAGGAGGTTGAGGGGGTTATACGTAAGATAAGCAGGGGTAGAGGAACAGAGCCAGATGAAATCATGATAGAGTTTTGGAAGTGTCCGGGCAAGACGGGTTTGGAGTGGCTCACTAGGTTATTTAATATCATTTTTAGAACGAGGAAGATGCCCGAGGAGTAGAGGTGGAGCACGATGGTACTTTATACAAGAACAAGGGTGATATCCAAAATTGCAATAACTATCGAGGTATCAAGCTGCTTAGCCATACTATGAAAGTCTGGGAGAATGTGGGGAAGCTAAGGGTGAGGAGAAGTGTGTCTTTTTCTGAGAATCAATTCGGGTTTATGCCGGGACGCTCGACTACATAGCCATTCACCTTTTTAGGAGTTTGATGGAGCAGTATAGGAAGAGGAAGAAGGACTTACATATGGTGTTCATTGACTTAGAAAAGGCGTACGATAAAGTCCCGATGGAGGTTATATGGAGGTGTTTGGAGTCTAGAGGTGTATGTGTTGCCTACATTGGGATGATTAAATATATGTATGATGGAGAAAAGACCAGAGTGAGGATGGTGGGAGGGGACTCGGACCATTTTCCGGTCATGATGGGGTTGCACCAAAGGTCGGCACTTAGCCCTTTTTGGTTTGCCCGGACAATAGATATTCTGACGCGCCACATCAAAGGGGAGGTGCCATGGTGCATGTTATTTACAGGTGATATTGTATTGATTGACGAGACATGATGCGTTGTGAATGCGAGGTTTGAGGTGTGGAGGCCGACCCTGGAGTCTAAAGGTTTCAAGCTGAGTAAGACCAAAATAGAATACTTGGAGTGTAAGTTCAGTGGTGAGACTCAGGGAGAGGAAGGGGAGGTGAGGCTGGACTCGTAAGTCATCCCTAGGAGAGATAGTTTAAGTACCTTGGTCTATTATTTAGGGGGGTGGGGATATTGATGAAGATGTCACACATCTTTATTAGGGTAGGATGGATGAAATGGAGACTTTCTTCTGGTATTTTATGTGACAAGAAGATGCCACCAAAACTTAAAGGTAAATTCTACAGAGTGGTTGTCAGACCGACTATGTTGTATGAGGCTGAGTGTTAGCCTGTCAAGATTGTCCATATCCAAAAGATAAAAGTAGCAGAGATAAGGATGTTGAGATGGATGTGGGGGCACACCAGGTTAGATAGGATCAGGAATGAGGTTATTTGCGACAAGGTGGGTGTGGCCCCCATTGAGGGAAAGATGTGAGAAGAGAGGCTTAGGTGGTTGGGACATGTGAAAAGGAGGAGCATAGATGCCCCAGTAAGGAGGTGTGAGAGGTTGACACTGGAGGGCCTACAAAGAGGTAGAGGTAGGTCGGAGAAGAAATGGGGAGAGGTTATTAAGCAAGACATGACGCAACTTCAGCTGACCGAGGACATGACCCTTGATAGGACGGTGTGGAGGTCGAGGATTAGGGTAGTAGGATAGGTGGTAGATTGTTCATGCCAATAGGATTAGTACGTACTCTCGCATTCTGTTGGTAGTAGATTTCTATGAATACCCGTCATTTTCTTTCATTTTGATCATCTTATTATCGTGTTGTTTATATGCTACTTTTACATGGCTTTTTGGTGTTATCCCTAATTGTCTATCTTTTTAATTAATATGGAGCTTATGTTTTTCTGAGCCGAGGGTCTATTGGAAACAACCTAAACCTTCACAAGGTAGGGATAAGGTCTGCGTACACACTACCCTCCCCAGACCCCACGTTGCGGGATAATACTAGGTATGTTGTTGTTGTTGTAATTAAGAAAAAATAAATTAATAAAAAAGCTAAATAAATATAAAAATTCTATTTATGCAATTTAATGCTTTAAAATAATGGCTTAGGATTGTAAAAATATAAAAAATACTATTTTGACCCAAATAATACAATGAATGCAATTATTTGTAAAACATAGGCTACTAATGCAAATAATGTGTAAATAGTATAGAAATGCAAACATAATTATATAAAATAAAGTAAAGTATTATATAATATGCATGTGGGTATAAATAATTAATTTGGATGATTAAATCACTCAAAATAATTGAAGGAATAATTAATAAATATTTAAAAATTATAAATGCAAGAAATCAAATATAAAAGCTTTATTTTAAAACAAATACAAAAATTATTTGTATGAACTCTTGTAGTATGAATTTGATAATAATACGAAAAAATACTATATGGAATACTTTACAAAATATGAGGCAAAATTGAGTATCAACATATAGAAGAAAGGTTTCCGCACAATAAGTTTTCCTCTCCCAAATCTATAGGGATTATGGGTTCCTAAAAATACAGAAAAATAATTCAAGCCACAAATAACANTTTCCCTATTTCTCCCAATCATTCTTTTTTAAATTGTAATTATGTAAGAATCTAAAAGTCATGTCTCTTGAAAAAGAATTCCAATGTAAGGCCTCATAAATATTTCACCTAAAACCTGGAGTTTCGTAATACCGGGGTAGACTTATGCATTGTTGGTTCAGACGTTTTGGGTTGAACAGTGCGTTGGGGAGTTGAAGAATTATTTTTAGAAATATAGGGCATTTCTACGGTCCTTTCTGCGGTCGCAGAACTGGTATGCGAACCGCATATCGGCCGCAGACTGAAGCAGAGAAATGGTCAAAATTTTGGACCATTATGCAGCCCATTATGCGGCCGCATAATCGTTTTGCAGGCCGCATTACCCATTGCAGACCCAGCATGAAAATTTTCGGAAAGGAAGTTCTGCGGCGCATTATGCGACCGCAGACTGGTCACAGAGTGGGGTAGACTTGACCAGTTCCGGAGGGCCATTATGCGGCCCATTTTGCGGACTTTGAGGCAAGATGTCCAAATTGTCAGCAAGTTAAATCTGAACACCAAAGACCCGGTGGGTAGGCACAGAACATAGAGATTCTGATATGGAAGTGGGAGATGATCAATATGGACTTTGTGGTAGGGCTACCTCGCACTCATCACAAATTCGACTCGATTTGGGTGATTTTGGAGCGACTCAAGAAATCAACACACTTCTTACCTGTTAAGGCTACCGACACAGAAGAAAAGTATGCTCAGTTGTACATCAACTAAATAGTCAGGTTACATGGCACTCCAGTTTTTATTATCTCAGATCGAGGGGCACAGTTCACGACTAATTATTGGAAGAGGGTTCAGGATGGTTTGGGTACTCAAACTAACGGAAAGGTAGAGCGGACTATTCAGACGCTTGAGGATATATTGCACGCTTATGTTCTTGACTTCAAAGGTAGCTGGCATGATCATATGCCGCTCATAGCATTTGCCTACAACAACAGTTATCATGCCAGTATCCAAATGGCACCGTTCGAGGCCTTATATAGTAGGAGATGTAGATCTCCCATTGGGTGGTTCGAGATTGAGGAAGCAGAATTGATAGGGCTAGACCTCGTGCATCAGACTATGGAGAAGGTTAAGATCATTACACAATGGTTGAAAACTACTCAGCGTCATCAAAAGTCCTATTCGGATGTTCGTCGTAGGGATTTGGAGTTCAAAGAAGATGATTGTGTATTCTTGAAGATTTCCCCCATGAAGGGTGTAATGCGATTTGGTAAGAAAGGGAAATTGAGTCTAAGGTATGTCGGACCATACCCTATCATTCATAGGATTGTTCAGGTGGCATACAAACTTGAGCTACCACCTGAGATATCATTAGTACACCCGGTATTTCACGTGTCTATGTTGAAGAAAGTAGTTGGAGCCCCGACACTCATTGTTTCACTTGAGACTATTGAGGTTAATGAAAAACTGACTTATGAAGAAATTCCAATTGCCATTCTTAATAGGCAAGTCCGAAAGCTAAGAAATAAAGTAATCGCCTCCGTGAAAGTGCTATGGCGAAACCAACAAGTTGAAGAGACCACATGGGAGACCGAGGAAGAAATGAAGAATAAGTACCCTCATTTATTTGAATAGATATGTAATCGTTTCTATGAAATTTTTTCCTATGAATTATATATCACTTGTACAGTTTATACTAAAGGTGTTCCTTTTTGGTAGTATATTGCTCGTGAGGCCACAATTGGCATTGTTTTAATGTTATGTTGCGTCGTTTGTTCCTGTATAGTTAAGACTGGTTTTGGGATTCTCTGGCATGTGGATAGGCCAAATTAAATTGGAGACTCTGATGAAACTTTTGAAAATTTAGGGAGTTAGTCAAAAATTGGAATTGCTGGTGTTTGTTGTAGAAACTGAATCACATTGGGCGCTAATGGTGAATTTTGACCCTTATCCGAGGATGAATGATCCTAAGTGGGGTAGGATATAAGGCCCCATATATATTTCACCTAAAACCCGGAGTTTCGTAATGACGGGGTAGACTTATGCGTTGTTGGTTGGTTCGAACTTTTTGGGTTGAACAGTGCATTGGGGGGTTGAAGAAATATTTTATAAATATAGGGCATTTCTGCGATCCATTCTGCAGTCGCAAAACTGGT